TGTGACCAAGCAATGACCATAACCTTGCCCCTTGTCAGCTCTACTATACACCTGGGAATTCTGATCATTCACATGAACTTATAGGCCCATTGCAAAGAACTATATCTTGAGTTGCTTCTGATCCTAAACTGTAACCTGTTATTGCCCTAATAAATCCCATAATTGTGAATATGGTCTGTGAATTCTATCTGGTCACTGCAATAAATTATTGAACATAGCAGAGCAGCAGAGTGCTGGAGGAAGGACAGATAATGTCAGAATTGGTATTAGAGAGAGGAGGCGTGTCTGACCATCACCTCACAGCAGCTTTGGGCTACTGATTCTAATAATGATCCTCCTTTCACCTCATGAAATTAGAGGTCAGATGCCTCCCCTGTCAAGTTAAGTTTTATAGGTCCATTAGTCCTTTGGAGCAATTGTTTCCTTGAGTCTTTGATTTTCTTCCCTCCTCTTTGCTCGAGATGAGAAGAGAGCAATACTTTATCTTAGATGGCTCCTCACAAGCTTTTAAGACCCCAGCTGGTACACACCAATATTAAGATGTAGAACACTGTCTTTATGGACTATGCTCTACCAACTGACCTAGATGTCCCCAAGACTATGGTCCTAAACCCTCAAGCTCAGTGACTCAGTCCCTCCAGGTAACTGATTATGGCTAAAAAGTTTACATAACTTTACCCCCATGTATGTTCTATTATGTACCTGCATGTATCAGTAGCCCATATAAATATATAAATAGAAATATCCTCTGCCAAACCTGAATATGTACTCTCATATGCCATCCTACATTTGTTCAGCTTACATATTTTCCTGTATATCCACTTGTACATTATTGTTCATTGTTACTGTAGGACTGTGTATGTAGTAGCATTTACTGTTGCTGCCTTTCACTTTTGCACACTTCCCAGGGTCTTCCTTTGCCTTGGTTATGTTGTGCTGACCTCCTCCTTATTGTATATTACCTTCCCTTCACCTAAATTAATACATGTCTACTATCTAGTGACAGGAGCTCTGGTAGCATAGTGGCTAAAAGCACTTGACTGCTATCCAGAGGGCTGGCGGTTCAAACCCACCAGCCACTCCTCGGAAGGAAGGTTGGGCAATCCTACTTCCGTAGTGATACTGCCTCGGAAACCCAAGGAGGGGTCGCTATGAGTCGGGGCCGACTCGACGGCACATAACAACAACAACAACAACTATCTAGTGATTTTCCCTGCCCTTCCCATCCCTGGTAAAGAATGTTTCCTTCTATGTGTAAACCTTTCCTCCACTTTTTGTAATAGTGGTCTCATAGGGTATCTGTCCGTTTGTGTTTGACTTCTTTCACTCAGCACAACATCTTCCAGTTTCATCCATGTGGTGTAAAATTTCACACACTTATTACTCTTATCATTTCATAGTACTCCATTGTAAATCCCATAGTTTCTTGCTAAATTACGGGGTCACTCCTCAGGCAACCATAAAGATGGGACTGTATGGCACACTGAAAATCTTTGTTTGATTTATTTGTCTTTTCTCAAGTAAGTATGTGAGCTACTTGAAGACAAGAATTACAGTATTTCATTTATCTGCTTCTCTGTACCCAGCAAAGTGTATGGCACATGGTAGACTCTTAAGAAGTATTAGGTTACTTCTCCCCCTCCCTTTTTCCTCTAAGTCAGAACTACCTCTTCCCTCCTGTCCAAAATCCCATAGCACTTTACACATCTCTCTTGGGACATCTGTCTTCTGCTTCATACAAGTATTTTGTGTGTTTTATTTTCCCCACAAGGCTATGAAGTCTTTAATAACAGGGGACAGTTTTAATTTTTTTTTATGCAAAGTATCCTTGCCTGTGGTAATTGTTAACAAATAACTGATGAATGAACTTGTAATTAAAACAGCTAAGTCTAAATGCAACCTTATACCACTTGATTATTCATTCTGTATTTGTACGCTGTTGTTTAGCTATGTTTTCATTTCTATTGTGTATTTTCTTACCATCCCGATCAAACACTAGTCCCACAATTACCAAACCATGGTTTCCAAGCCACAAGAGCCTTTCTGATTAATTTGTCAAACGTATCCTATGCTAGGTACTGGGGGAAATGCAAACGTGGATCAGAAAAGGGTTTCTGGTCTCAGGAAATTCAATCTAGTAATGACTCCCGAACAGAACGCTAATGTAAATCACGTGGCTCTGCAGACTGACAGCGATTGTTAACGTGGTTCCAGGGTCACGTAATACTCTACACCGCCAGCCTAAACTCCTGGGATTCGTTTCGAGTTTCTTGCCCAGATCCTGCTTGGGGGTGTAGAGGAGAGGTGGGGAAAGTGACGATCCACCTTCCCTTAGACCTATGTATCCTCTCAGGCCCCGCACCCCAGTGCTTTCTACTCTCCCAGGTTCACCCACCACCCTAGCTGGGCGTGGCTCTCATCTACCCAACAGCCCATTCTCTCTCTCGAGGGGTCGGCTACATTTTCCAAGGACCCTCCCCCTCTAGGCAGTCATATAAATGTGGAACTGGAAAGAAGGCTTACACAAGCCACAGCTTCCCCCTTTTTTCGCATCCACTCCAGACCCAGCCGGGGTTGTTTTCCTAGGCGTTCGCGGATGCTCACCTGCTCAGCTGACACCGCCCCCTTCCCAACGCCGCTACCGCTGCTCTTGCCGGCACGACCGCTGCTCTCCGCCATCTTCGTCGCCTGCTGGGTTTCCGGCCTGCGCAGCTTAGCCCCCGCCTAGCGTCACGTCCGGTCTCGGGGTTACCGCCCACTCGCCCCCAGGCTTGTTTGGTTCCCGGCGGAATTTCGTTTCGGATCCTACGGAGGGTTTCGGCTGTATCTTCATGTAGGATCCTCATCCTGCCGGCCGCGGTGAATTTCAGCTGCAGTGCTTTAACTTGTGCAACTGAGATGCTGTCCCTGGGAGAGGCGGGGAAGGATAGGAGAATGGGGGCATGGGTTGGGATCTGGGTTCTTGTGGCGGCGGATCGAGGGAGGGTGAACTTCCCCTCAAAAGGTTTCTCGGTGTAAGGGGGAAAATATGCGTTTAATCAGTAGGGGTGTGCAGTTGCACAGTTGGGAAGACAGGCCCGGGAAAACCAAGGAAGTTTCCCGTAGGTGACTTCTGAACAGCGGAAACATTTGGCAAGAAAAGAGTTTCGGTTTATCGAGATCACTGTAAATCGAGGACGTATCCTGGCGTCCAGCACAACGCCTTCTTCCACCTTCATACCTTATGATCTCTACCTGTAGCCCATAAGTAGAGGGTTTGAAGACTTGGGGTTTTCACTGGCAGTGCCCCGATTCAGCCTTATAGTAGAAATGTATTGTTTAAAGGAGAGGTTGGTGTCCTGTTTTCTCAACTTCCTCAGGCTGGGCTTCATCATCAGGCCTTGGTCATTAGCTCCTGCCCTACTGTGTACTGGACTCCGGATACCTCGACTTTGTGCTCAACCCAGGTAACGTGTTTTGTTGCATCCTCCGTGCCTACACAATACTCAGGAATTGTTAAATGAATGAATGCTGGAGATACAGGCATGCCAACCACCCACTAAACATTTAATTGGTGAATCCACTAGGACTGGGTCAGTGTGCCCTGCAAGAGGAGAATCAAAAGCAAGTCCAGCCTTCCTGCCTCCGCGTTAAAACTCCTAATCATTAAACTGGGTTTCCCTATGTTAGGACATCTGAGAATCCTGTCTGTGCCATTCACAGGCCCAGAGCCATGGCCATCTCCTCTTCCTCCTGGGAACTGCCCCTGGTAGCTGTGTGCCAGGTAACATCGACACCAGACAAACAGCAGAACTTTAAAACATGTGCTGAGCTGGTTCAAGAGGCTGCCAGACTGGGTGCTTGTGTGGCTTTCCTGCCTGAGGCATTTGACTTCATCGCTCGAGACCCTGCAGAGACACTACATCTGTCTGAGCCTCTGGGTGGGAACCTTTTGGGAGAATATGCCAAGCTTGCCAGGTATCGGGGGAGAAAAGGGGTGGGAGAAGTAGCCTTTGTTGAGCAGTGTCCCTGGATTGCCAGATAGGAGAACAGGGCCTTGAGAAGAGTTGTCAGTGTCCCCTCCCCCCAGGGAATGTGGACTCTGGCTGTCCTTGGGTGGTTTCCATGAGCGTCACCAAGACTGGGAGCAGACTCAGAAAATCTACAATTGTCATGTGCTTCTTAACAGCAAGGGTGAGACTTCAAAAACCTTTAGCCTGCCTCTTCCCAGGCTCTTATATCTAAACTTAGATCCCCAGAAGCTGGTTTTCTTAATTCATTTCCTTGACCCAGTGTTTTAGGGGTGTTTGTACTTCTGTTCCTAGCCTATAAATCATTTTCTCTTTGGAGATGGTGAGAGGAGCTAAACTGGGCTTCTAGAGCATCAACATTGGTAATTCTTTCTCCCTCTTACTCTAGGATCAGTAGTGGCCACTTACAGGAAGACTCATCTGTGTGATGTAGAGATTCCAGGTCAGGGGCCGATGCGTGAAAGCAACTCTACCATACCTGGGCCCAGTCTGGAGTCACCTGTCAGCACACCAGCAGGCAAGGTGGGAGCTATAAGAGCATGCGGGTGAGAGGCACAAGAGGGGGGACAGAACTACTTTCAAAGTGATTATAGAGGGTAGGAAGCCCTAAGGAATAGAGCAGCAAGGGTATAACAATGCGGAGACAAACAGGACAGGGAAGCTAAATGGACTTTTCTTTCTAGATTGGTCTAGCTATCTGTTATGATATGCGGTTCCCTGAACTCTCTCTGGCATTGGCTCAGTCTGGTGCAGAAATACTTACCTACCCTTCAGCTTTTGGATCTGTTACAGGCCCGGCCCACTGGGAGGTAAGAGGACACTTCTTCCAAACCAAAGGGCCTTCTCTTAACCTCATTCTCCTTTCTTGGCCTTATGAGTTGATAATTTCCTTCCCCTTTCAACATGATGGGAACTCTTCAGACTGTTACATGACTTTACAGATACGTGACTTTACAAACACATAACGTGGCCTCTCTTGTTACACAATTAACTTTTCCCAGGCAATTGTTAGAATGGTCACAATGGACAGACTAAACATTCGGCCTATAGCATCCATATGCTATTACCTTTACTCTAGCTGCTGTAAGTAGAGTGAACGCACATCTCATCCCTCCAGGTACTGCTGCGGGCCCGTGCCATTGAAACCCAGTGCTATGTAGTGGCAGCAGCACAGTGTGGGCGCCATCATGAGAAGAGAGCAAGTTACGGCCACAGCATGGTGGTGGATCCCTGGGGAACAGTGGTAGCCCGCTGCTCTGACGGCCCAGGCCTCTGCCTTGCCCGAATCGACCTTAATTATCTGCAACAGTTGCGCCAATACCTGCCTGTGTTCCAGCACCGCAGGCCTGACCTCTATGGCAATTTAGGTCACCCACTGTCTTAAGCCTTTTGACTTCTGAGTTGAGACCCACTGTAGGCTGTGACTTGTGGCAGGACCTGGGCACAGCTCCCCTCAACTTGGACAGCCTCAATTTTTGATCAAACACAGGCTCAGCTTTTTGGAAAAGAAGAAACTTTCACCTGAGCTCAGATTTTCAGTTTCAGAAAGGTGGAATTTTAGTCATTGTTTATTTCATGAAAACTGAAGTTATGCTGAGGGCTGAGAATCACTGGCATTGAAGAAAAAAAAAAATGTAATCATTATAAAGTCTGTTTGGACATCTCCTTTGGGAGTTGGAAGGGGTGGTGTATTGTACCAGCTGAACTGGGCTGTAGTTGTAGGCTTCCTGGCTTATTCAACATGCCTCCCTACCTAAATAAAAGTGCAACACTCAGTGCATGTCCCAGCCCCATTCTCCCAAGCTTGGGAGAGGGAATGGAGAATGGGGAAGGAAAAGGAAAAAAGGAGTTGATAATGAATTATTTCACTTCCACCTATGATGCCCTTTGCCCAAGTCCAAAGAAAGCAAAGGGGAAAAGGGCTGCAGGGTACATTATTTATTTTCACTTGAACATGGAAGGAAAATGCCACACTCCCCCTTCCCCTTTTCAGGGGGAGTGTATTTTAATCAGCAACCTCTTCTCTGTCCACCCTGTGTGATGTGTGTACACACACACACATCACAGTTGGGAGGAGTGACTAAACTGACCCAGTCCTCTCACCTGTTACTCCCCTGAAGAGGGTCTGACGAGAGAAAAAGGAAGGAGCCACACAAGGCAGAGGTTTCAAGCCATGGAATAGAGGAAAGGAGGCAGAGAGGAGCAGCACCAGAGGCCAGGAGAGTGGAAAGGGCCACAGCTTGTTTTTTTTTTAAAAAATTATGTAATTTGGGAGGGGGTGGTGATTGATTTCCAAAATACACTTCAGAGTCCCATCTTCCACGTAGCTCCCTTACTCACAGCCCTTTGGTTTTTCAGACAAAATTTAAGAGCCCTCATAAAGCGTGAAGTATTATTGATAACCCCTCAATGCACCCAAAAGCAGTGTTCACTGCAATCCCTTACAAAGACTATGTTCTATAGACTTTGCTTCTCCCTATGCATTTGTCTTACGGCTCAGTGGTAAGGTGGCTGTAGAGACACACATTGGGGATAAGTGGAAAAGGGAAACAAAGGGGAAGCCCAGGCACATGGGTGCAGGGAGGGGTGGGGATACCACTTCCACTTTCCTTTGTCTTTTCCTTTAAAAAAAAAAAAAAAAAAAGCCAGGGGATGTGATTGGAAGGGTAGAGAACAAACCCCAGGATGGTATGTAAGCTCCAGAGGTGGATGGTGGGAACAGTCCCCAGAGAGCTGAGAAGGGGGAAAGGTCAGGGCAATGCTTGCAGCATCAAGTTCCTCAGGAGTTTCTGTCGGCCCAGCTCATAGTCCTCCTCATCCACATTCACCAGCAGCTTGATGGCTTCATGGCCCACAGCCTGCTTGAGAGAGTCTGTGATGAAGACACCTTTAAGTGCCTCTAGTAATGAACCATTGATGTAGTCACGCCAGAATGCATCGAGGTAGGTGAGCTCAGAGAACTTGATGTCACAGATGATGGAGCCCAGGTCCCGGGATTTGAGGATGGTATTGGCCTGGTTAAAGCGCTCAAACTGACGCTCAAGTGGGTCCTGCTTGTTAGAGAAGACATTGCCCTGAAGAGCAGTCTCGTGCTGGCAGTATTCAGCCCGAACCCGCAGTCTGATGTCTGGGGAAAAGAACAGGGAAAGAAAAGTACAATGAGGGATGAATTTACAACAGTTTGAAAGGTAGAAGGGAACAGCAGAGTAGCAAAGTAGGGAACATAACCTGACAGCTTTTCTACCTCTGCCAAAGGACTACTACATTTCTATGTACCTCTGAAATCCCTGCCTACATGTAGGTTTCCTCAAATGGGACTTGCCCAGGTCAGCATTATTCTCAGCACTCACAAGTCGTACCTTGCCTAGGAAGAGATACATTCCTAACAGGCAAAGAAGTTCATTTTAATACTCCTGACTTGGTTCATCCTATGATAGGACTGTCATAACAATACCCCTTTGATCTAACTAAAAAGAATTGAAATAGGCTATGGCGCAAAGATAATGGGAATACTTTTCCTAGACACTGTAACTATTCAGCCTCTTTTTGGAACAGCAATCAAAAGTGAGCCTTGCACTAAATAACATAAACTGCCCAGTGTCTTAGAAGTTCTTCATATTTTCCCACAAGTGTACTCCCCCTTTGGAACCCTTGAACTTTCTCACCACATGTCTGCTTTTCCTTGGGATCTGGTGTCACTGACTTCCGGCGTTTCCGCTGGCTCCCAAGTGTGGCTCTCCCTCGGGCTGGCCGCTTGCTACACATCTGGGGGCCCGAAGTGGGGCAGCACACCACAGGATAGTGGGGAGGCACTGCCCAGAGGGTAAAAGAGGAGAAGAGACAGTAAGGTAAAAATATATTCAAATACTTCTCTTGGAATGAGGAAGGTATCACTTAGGCTTAGTACTAAAAGCAGTAACAATAATATTACTAACAGGAGGATACAATGGAGTAATTACAGGACCTAGGTGAGGCATTAACACCTCATCTGGTTTTTGTGGTACTAGATGTGGGGGGAAGTATCCTTTCACTTAAGCTGGCAAAGTTGAGAATATAATGGGATTAACATCCACTTGATTATGGAAATTAAGGGGAATTAACATCATCTCACCTGTTTTGGGGGGCTGGGGAGGCCTCGGTTCTGGATCACTGAGGGCTCTGGGGGTCATATAGCGAATTGACGTCTCCTCCAGATACTTGTCTACAAGATCAGGGCACACTGGGGGGGTAGGGGGAGTCATTCAGGAAAAGGTAACATTCCTCCCTCCTCCCACTCCAACCCTCCAATGGGCCTCATAACCTATTCTCCTCTAGGCACTCCCCAGGGTCAATGCCTCCTTCCCTTGGACACTTACCCTACTTACTCCTGGCTTCCCCCCATGTCTCCCTGATTCTAGTGACCCAGCCCCCAATGCACCCTCACCAGCCCGCCTCCTCTTGAGGGTGACGTAGGGCAGCAGGTCATGACGAGTGATGATGCGCAGCAGCTGCAGCACCTGGCGAAAGTTACTCTCATCACAGCGACCCTGGCGCTCCAGCGCCAATAAGAAGTCACGTCCATTTCGGATGAGGCCACGTTCGTGGTCATCAATGACATCAACAAAGAGGAAGGAAAGAACTCGCACATCTCTGTGTGTCAGGTGGGTGCCCACGATGTCAAACATGCGGTGCAGGCTGTACAGTCCATGCTCCTGCTCACCATGCTCTTCTGGCCACACCTGGCTTGCCCGCCGCTTTAGGCCCGCCATGCTGGGGGGCTCAGGTGTGCAGTGCTTTCCAGAATTCCTGCTCAGCAGCTGCAATCTCCACTGTACTATAAGGATAGGAAAAGAACTAGTGAACCACTCAATGGCAGGTACCAGCCTTATTCATTCTGTATTCCCAGTGCCTAACACAAGGCTGGCACAGTGTAGTGCTATAGGTGTTTATTAAATTTAACAACATTAAAAAAAAAAAAAACCTTAACAACAAATAAAAACCTTGTAAGCTTTAAGTTCTGTGCATATCCAATATATGTTGTCTTAAGTCCAGACTCTGGGAGCTCTGGTAGCATAGTGGCTAAGGCACATGACTGTTAACCAGAAGGCTGGAGGTTCAAACCCACCAGCCACTCCTCGGAAGGAAGATGGGGCAATCTACTTCCGTAGTGATACTGCCTGGGAAACCCAAGGAGGGGTCGCTATGAGTCAGGTTTGACTCAACGGCACACAACAACAACAACAACAAGTCCAGACTCTACTGCGTCAGGTTAATATAGTCATTTTGCCTAAGTGAGAATGCTGAATGCAATTTTAGTGCTACTTAATAAGGAAAAGTTGCTATTACCTATTACCCCAAGTATTCCTCCTGACTCCAAAAAAATTGCTATTGCTTCTGGTTCCTTGAGAATTCTGTCCCTTCAATCAGTCACCTCTTAAATACAGGCAAAACTGTGAGGAAGTAGAGAATTAATACACTTATTTATTGTGTTGTGTGCCACTGAGTTGATTACAACTCACAGCAACCCTATATGACAAAATAGAACTGTCCCATAGGGTCTCTTAGGCTGTAATCTTTCTGGGAACAGACTGCCAGGTCTTTTCCCCCGTGGAGTTGCTGGTATGTTTAAACTACTGACCTCTCAACTAGCAGCTGAGTGCTTGACCACTGCACCACCAGGGCTCCTTCAGATTTATTTAGGTACAACAGAGAAACTGAAAATCTTTAGGGTTAGAATTAGTTTCAATTCTGACTACCATTAACAAGGTGTTGAGGTGTGTGACTTTAAACAAGTCACTTAACTTCAAAGCCTTAGTGTCCGCATCTATGAAACAGGGATGAAAGAACCTACTTCTCAGAGTTGTTAAGAATCAAATGAGAAAATATATGTAAGATCACTTAATAAACTATAAAGCCTTATGTAAATGGTCATAAGATTTCTAAGATAATCAGCATCCTTGACCTCTGCAGCCTAGATATATCCTTCCACAAATGTATCCTCATCTTTCCTATAACCCAATCAAGAGCAGAAACATAATTGCTCAGTAAGATTAATCAATAATAGTAAAAAAAAAAAAATTCAATAACAGCCATCAAAACTTGTGGATTTAAATCCAAAAATATTTACTAAGCCTATGTTGAACATTCTCATAATTCTACACCACTAGCACCTCCTTGATGTTCATACCATTTGGATATACCACCTTCTAATCTTTCCTCTTGGTTGTCATTTACCAATCCCCAGTCAATGACCAATCACAGCCCTACCCAAATTATATAATTTGGCATTTGATTCATAAACTTACTCCATCATGCTGGTCTGATACTGGTAACAGCAATGACTCAGCCAATAACCAATCCTCAAGTCCAGCAACTTTCACCTCTATTCTAGTCACTTATACTTATTACCCTGCCAGACAGTAGCACCTAATATTGTTTTGCTCTCTGACCACAACCTCCAATCACCCAGTCAGTGATAAATTCTTATTGATAATACTTTTAAACATGCTTAAATCTTTCCTATCTTCCCACCTCTACTCCCAGTGCTCTGGTTCAGATCCTAATAATCTCTCACCTGTACTATTATAAGGAGCTCTGGTGGTACAGTGCCTAAGCTAACCAGAAGGTTGACAGTTCAAACCCACCAGCCACTCCATGGAAGGAAGATGAGGCAATTCACTTCTGTAAAGACTTACCACCTTGGAAACCCAATGGGGGTCACTATGAGTCAGAACGCAATGGCAGTGGATTTTTTGGGTACTACTAACAGCTCTTTAAGACCTCTCCCTACTGCCAATCTTAACCCACATGTACTGCAGTGAATTACTTGGTATGGCTCTTCTCACCATGGTGTTTGTGACACCCACTAGATTATTAGGTGGAACAAGGCAAATATAAGGTGTTTGTGCCCTACCAAACAGATTGGATACCTTATTAGTAATGTAAATGAAGTATATGACACCCTTATGGGGTGGGACCATGGAAATACAGTGTATGGAACCCTAATGTGGGGATTGGTCAGTTTTGTCATTTCACTGAACTGAAAATGAGCCCTCTCAGAGGCAAAAAGGGAGATCTCACTGTCATCAAGAAAGAAGAGCCAGAGGTAGAGTGAAATGCATCCTTGGACCTGAGATCCCTGTACTGGACCTCCTTGGCAAAGAGACCAGCAGAGACAGCAGAGAAATAATGGCAGCAGCTGCAGCAGAACCGGGAGACCAGCACAAGACAGAGCAGTGGGCTTGTCAGCCCAAAAAGTAAAAAAGTTGAGTGCCTCTGGGAAGGAGGGTTGCTGGAGTGGGGTGCACCTAGGAATACCCATCAGCACAGTAGAAGAGCTTTCTAACACTGACCTGAGCGTGGCAGAGGCCAGGCCCAGGGCCAAAGAGAGGTATGCCTAAGGGCATGGCTGAGGAAAGGCTGTCCAAATTGAAAACCTGTATCCTGAGTGATCCTTGAACCTGATTTGTAACCTGTTACTTCCCTAACAAACCCCATAATTGTAAGTATTATCTTTGAGTTCTGTGCAGCCATTGCAACGAATTACTGAATCCAGCAGAGAAGTAGTGAGTGCCGTGGGAGGGACAGCTGGTGTCAGAACTGGTAAAAAGGCTGTAGGGTGGCAGCATATCTGGCCTCATAGGAATAACCCTTGAGGTGCTGATGGTGATTCTGTCTCCCTCTTGTGAAGTCAGAGGAGATCAGAAGATGCCACCCCATATTCTTTCTGCACCACCTAATTCCATCTCCCATATACCAGTTAACTACCTAAAAATGCAAAACTGACCACACACTTTCCTGCTTAACACCTGTCAACAGCCCCCTCCTTACCTATAAAACTCCAAGTTCCTTACACAAAACACCAAGCCCTTCCAAGATCAGGCCCTGCCTACCTCTTCATCTCACTACTCACCATAAAACCAAACCAAACCCATTGTCAAGTTGATTCAGACTCACAGTGACCCTACAGGACAGACTAGAACTGTTTCATAGGGTTTCCAAAGCTGTAATCTTTACAGAAGCAGACTGCCAAGTCTTTATCCCATGGAGCGGCTAGTAGGTTTGAACTGTCAATGTCTGGGTTAGCAGCCAAACACTTAACCTCTGCACCACCAGGGCTCTTTTCCAGCCACCATACTCCACCTTTATTCTTTAACATTATCAGTTTGTTTACACCTTTTCTCAATACCTTTCTTTAGGCTATTCCATTTGCCTGAATCCCTGTCTCCCTTCTCCATTCCACACCCCCATTACCACCCTTTTTCAGATAGCTAACTCCTCCTCATCCTTTAAGAATCAGCTCAACCCTAAAGAATAACCTAGAATCTGCAAAACACCGCATAACATGGATGAACTTGAAGGACATTATGCTGAGTGAAGTAAGTCAATCACAGAAGGATAAATGTTGTATTAGTCCGTTATTGTAAAAGTCAAGGAAAGGTTTATCTATGGAAGGAAATTTTCTTTGTTGGTTACCAGGGGTGGGAGGAGGAGTGAACATTGTTAGACAAGTAGAAGTAAGTATTGATTTGGGTGAAGAGAAGGGCAATGTACCAAATGTGAGTGATCAACATGGTTGCATTGAGGAAAAGGAAGACATAGAGAGGTGCATGGGAGGTACAGACAACAAAGATGAACCCTTCTGCATATACAGTACTGCATTTCAGTGAAGGCAAACCTGGGTATACAGCTGGATAGATGGGTGGACAGGCTGAACTATTAGGTATGTCTATGTCAGGGCTGACTCGACGGCACATAACAACAACAACAACATGAAGCGGGGAGTACCCAATACCATGTATATAGGGTTGGCAGACAATGGTCCTATAAATGTATGATCTGACTTCCCAGGTGTATAGTAGAGGTGACAAGGGACAAGGTTGTAGTCACTTCTTGGTCACAGCCAGCTACCCAGAGGGACTGAGTGGTTGAACCTGTGGACTTAGAACCATAGTCACAGGGGTTATCAAGCTCAATTGGCATAACATACTACACAAAACATTGTTCCCACCTCCTACTTTGGCGAGTAGCAACTGGGATCTTAAAAGCTTGCAAGCAGCTATCTAGATGCAACGATGGGTCTCTCCTCATCCAGAGCAAAGAAGAATGAAGAAAACCAAAAATTCATGGAAACAATTAGTCCTAGTGACTGATACACCATGTGATCCGCAGCCTATGTGACTATGAGACCAGAAGAACTAGATGGT